CCCTCTCCCCTCGCGTCCCCTCCTGCGCCTCCCCGTAACCCCTCCCCCCTTCCCTCCGGGGCCTCTCCTCCCTCCCGCCCCCTTCGCCAGCCTCGGAGTCACTCGCTGTTGCCCTTGGGCGCGCGGAGCGAAAGGCGCGACTTCCCAGCGGGCTCTCCTGCTCCCGGCTCCCGGCTCCCGGCTCTCGGCTCCCGGCTCCCGGTTCTCGGCTGCGGGCTCCGGCCGCCAGAGAGCAGCAAGCGCCCGAGATCTGCGGACTGCGGACGGGGCACGCAGTGCCGTGGCAGGTCGCTTCCTAATACTGTTTAAACTAAAGGACCGGTGGCACCTCCTCCCCTCAGGCCACTGGCCAGGGGAGGGCCCCAAACTTCTCTGTCCAGTGCGGTGGCGTGGAAATGCCTGCTTTGGGCTGAGCCTAGGTGTGATAGACACTGATGTCCAGGACACATCCGCGGCAACTTTGCAATGTTGGCACCGGTTCTTCACGCCACATCGGATGTTGGAATCAAACTTCCTAATGGCTCACCAAAACAAGTGGTCTTCTTGGGGAGGGGGCGCAGTTAGATGTAGGGCAGGAGGGCCGGACCGGCCACTTAGTTACCATGGTTCAGAGGGTGGGTTCCAGACTTGATCTTGTCATGCCTCAGTTCCCCTTCTGCAAAATGTAGGTAATAATAGTGAGTACCTTCTGGGCTTCTTGTGAGGATTGGATGAACGAATATGCCCCCCAAAATATGAACCTTATGCCCCCCAGAGCAGAGGAGTGCCTGGGACAGTATGAACCAGGGCCAAAGAACCAGGGGGAGCGAAGGGTGTTGCCAGTGGGCAGAACAGGGTAGGGAGAGATAAAACGAGATCATTCATTTAATCAATAATGAGCTGTCCCCAAGTGGCAGGCAGAATGCTGAGCACTTGGGTCTGGGGTGGGAGCCAAGGCCCTGCAGGGAGGATCATGCCGTTGGGTGGGTGCAAGAGAAGGCAGGCTTGTGTCCTGCCAGGGAGATGAGGGCCTGTCCGGAGCAGTGTCTGGGAAGGGCGAGAGACTGGGGCAGGATGTTCGAGAATCTTGGAGAAGAAGGTTCTTTGAAAAAACTTAGAACGTGAGAGAAATGTTGTAAAGATGGTACCCATCCACCCTCCAAAGACACCACGCCTGGTAATAGCTGAGAAACAGCTCTTTGAGGCCTCCCAGTTCCCTAGGACATCTTTTTACTTGGGTTTCTGGCAACTGCCTTTGGCAAATGGAAATGAGAGTATGTCAGTCTTAAGGGTTAGCTGGCCACTGACCAAATGTCAAACCTTTGGGCTTTCTCCCAGAAGGGGAAGGGCTGAGGGCACTGAAGGGCCAGGAGCCAGGAGCTCCTGACATGAGCATTCTGGCTGGCAGGCTCTGTGCCCGTGACTGGCTGCTGCCTCATAGTATGGGTCAGGGATAAGCCTGGCGGGTCCATCCAATTTTGGGCTTGGTTCATTTTCAAGGAAGGCCAGGAGAAGGATATACTGTTAAACCCAAGACTAAGGCTGGGGTCATAGGGGGCTTCTTGACTGGGGTCACAGGGGAGGTCTGTGTCAGATTCTGGTCTAGAGAACCTGCAGAAGGCTGGCTGGGGGTGTCCTGACCAGCAGGGTGAGGAGAGAATTGTGTTATGAGGAACCTGGATGAAGGTGGGGCAGCATCATCCTGTCTCAGATCTTGGGCATTCTGAGATATGCAAAAGAATTCTTGAGGCTGGAGAAGTCTAGGGGAAGGTCAGTGGAAGGGCAAGTGTTGTGAGATCATCGGGTTTCTTGGACAGGCTTCGCAGATGCTCAGTTCAGAAGAGGGATTGGGTACACGTACTACTGGCAAGACCAAGAGAGAAGTCATTTCTTTCAGGAGGTCTCAGCAGAGGAGTGACTAAATACCACCCCCAGGGCACCGTGTGCACTCACACCCCTTTGCCTGGATGCTCCATGGAAAACATACAAAAACAAACTCACTGTCACTGAGTTGATGCTGATTCACCTTGACTTTTAGAACAAGGTAGAACTGCCCCCGGGGGTTTCTGAGAGGTAACTCTTTCCAGGAGTAGAAAGCCGCATCTTTCCCCTGAGATTTCAAACTGCTGACCTTGCTGTTAGCAGCGGAATGTGTAACCACTGTGCCACCGGGAGTTCTCAGCTTGCCCCATGTTGTTTTAGATGCCATCGAGTTGGTTCCCTCCCATAGCGACCACTCCACAGAGCAAAATGCTGCCTGGACCTACACCATCCTCACAATTGTAGTCACGGTGTCAGTCCAGCTCACTGAGGGTCTTGCTCTTCTTTGCTGCCCCTCTACTTTACCAAACATGATGTCCTTGCCCAGGGACTGGCTCCTCCTGACAACATGTCCAAAGTAGGTAAGATGAAGTCTTGCCATCCCTGCCTTTAAGGAGCACTCTGACCTGGCTTCTGCCAAGACAAATCGGTGTGTCCTTTTAGCGGTCCATGGTATTTTCAATATTTTTCCAGCATCACAATTCAAATGCATGGATTCTTCTTCGATCTTCTTTGTTCAGTATCTAACTTTCACTTGCATATGAGGCTATTGAAAATACCATGGCTTGGGTCAGGGGCACCTTAGTCCTCAAAGTAACATCCTTGCTTTTCAGCACTCTGAAGAGGTCTTGCGCAGCACACTGACCCAATGCAGCTCCTCTTTGGATCTCTTGACTGCTGCTTCCATGAGTGTTGATTGTGGATCTAAGCAAAGCAAAATCCTTGACAGCTTTGACCTTTGCTCCATCTATCGTGACATTATCTATTGGTCCAGTTGTAAGAATTTTGGTCTTCTTTACAATTGATAGTGGAAGCTGCAATCCTTGATCTTCAGCAAGTGCTTCAAGCCTTCCTCGATTTCAGCAAGTAAGGTTGTGTCATTTGTGTATTACAGGTTGTTAATAAGCTTTCCTCCAATCCTGACGCCACATTCTTCACGTAAGCCAATTTCTCTGATGATTTGCTCAACATATAGATGGAATAAGTATGGTGAGAGGAAACAACCCTGTCTAAAACCCTGTCTAAAACACTAACCAGTGTTGGATGATCTTCAGCAAAATTTTACTTGCATGTGATGTCAATGATGCTGCTGTATAACTTGGGCATTTTATAGGGTCACCTTTCTTTGACGGGATACAAAGAAGGATCGCCCAGTCAGTTGGTCAAGTAGCTGTCTTCCAAATTTCCTAATCTAGATGAGTGTGTACTTCAGGTCATTCATCAGCTTGTTGCATGCCCCACAGGCACCTGAAGTTGAACATCGCCTGAATTAAACTCACAATCTCTGTCATTCAAATCCTCACCTTCCTCTGTTCTCCGACCCACAATGGAACCACCATCTACACAGTTGCTAACGTTAGAAACCTCAAGTCCCCTCTCTCTTTACTAGCTGCCCCCAATCGAGGCCGTTTCCAAGTGGTGTGGGCTACTTTTGTGAAAGCTGGACAATGCCTAAGGAGGATGAGAGAAGGACGTATGTCTTTGTCTGATGGAGTTGGTAGTGAATGTTGGATATGCAATGGACAGTGAGAAGAATGAGCAAATCTGTCTCTGTTCAGCAAGAATGCTCCTTAGAAGGAGGGTGGTAGGACTTGTCGCATGTACTTTGGGCCCGTCATCAGCAGAGACTAGTTCCTGGAAAAGAACATCAGGCTTGGTCAATAGAAGGCCAATCCTTAATGAGGTGGATTGACTCCGTGGCTCCAACAATGGGCTCCAACTTAACAACAGTTGTGAGAATGGCAGAACATTAGCTGGCTGTAAGTGGAAACCGATGTGACATCACTTAAACAACAGCAGCAACAACTTAACTTTGTGACCACGTTCTCTTTTTCACCATCGTCTACCTGATGCCAATAATGCCTCTTCCTAGTCTATTGGCATATGGATCGTTCTAGCATGTACATCTTATTATTTCCTTCATTTGAAGAATATTTCTTGGCTGACTCACAAAACCTTTAAGTTTGTGACACACACTTGGTCCTGTGTGGCTGGACTCTTCTTTCTTTTTTTAGATGATCAAGGTAATTTGCTTAGTGGGTGATTCCAGGTTACATGACCAGGTGGTAGTTTCTTAAAAAGGATGTGCTTTGTGGTTTGGCAACCTGAGACCCTGAGATTGATCTGAATTACAAAGTAAT